GGTTGGGGTTTGGGATTTAGTGTTTGGTATAGTATAGGGTTAGTTTTAATTAAGTAAGGTACATTAAGGTTAGATCGAGGATTTCCTGCCTAGTGCAGTACAGGGTTTGGCGTTTAAGGTTGGAGTTTAGGGCATAGTGTTGAGTACTTCACGCCTCTTTTGTGAACTTGGCTCAAAGACGCTTCATGAGTATTCGTAGAGAGTCGGGCTTGGCGATTGCAAGCTCTGAGCATTGGGTCAGCTCAGAATGAGCGATTCCTCGCCGCAGGCACCGGAGGCTGAGAGTTCGCTTGTGATATAGGAGCCTTAATAATTATCTGCATTATTTTGGGGGGTTCCTTCTTATAGCTTTCATATAATATACCCCAAAACGCCTTTCGAATTATCAAGGCCTCTGTGTTGGCAGGCTTGTGCCCTACCTGACGGAGCAACTGCTATCATGTTGAGGCCAGGCCGCAGCGGCTTGTCGAAGTGCCATGCGGTGAGACGTGTCAGGCGCCTGCCTTCAAAGCTCTCGACGGACCAGTTCCTCGAGATCTTGAACCAGATCGCAGAAGGCATGCCGTACTATGAAAGCCTGAAGAATTGACAATAAGGTTTCTATGATCTCCTTACCGTACTTTCACACCAAACGATATTCTAGTTTTTTTCGGCCCCTATTATAGACACAGCCCTCAAGCCCTTCAATCCCAGAGCTTGAGCAGGATGTTAGGACTTCGTCTACGTGCCGCACAACCAGCACAAAGACAGCAACGTGGCCCTCGCATTCGTCAACTTCGTGGACCACCCGTCGGCCCGGTCTTTTGGTCCCAGTACGTCCAATTACCCCAAGGCCATTTTGTGGCCAGTACAGTCGCTTGTGGGACGGCATTCCGGATTCAGCGCTAGAAGAGATGCCAGTAGGGTTTAGAGTTGAGGGGTTTGGGATTTCAGAGTTTAGGGTTAGAGGGCTGTCAGAGCCTGCAGCTGCAATCCAAGGAAGGCATTTCACACCTTGCGCAATTGGAGTCATCCTGCGCTCGGCAGCAGCTTGAAGGTGATACAGGCAGCTTCATGCTTTCTACCGCGTAGCCACGACAGATCCTAATGAAGGTTGGCCCCCTCAAAGACGCACAGAGACAGCATCGAGCAAACTTTACAGAAGTCTAGCAACCAGCGGTGATTGTCTGCCGCTTGGCGGGCCTTCTCCGTCAAAACCAACCCTATAATTCCGGGAGATCAGAGCAGTTCACTGCCGTCGTCTTGACCCTAAACCCCTGAACCCTAAACCCTCAACTTGACGTCAGGCCGAAATCCAGGGCCTCAAGAACAACCTGGCGTTTTACGTGGCACGGCAGCTCGGCGAAAAGAGATGAGTCTGTGTGTTTGGTAGAAAGCACACGAAGCTGCGGCAATGCTCTCGGGGTTTGGATGCAGTGGAAGCAGTGTGCATCTGCAGGTTCGGCTTGCACGAAATCGAGAATCCGAATGCACCGCGAGTCTTCGAAAATGGACAGCCTCAGCCGCTGCATCCGCATTCTGTAGCAGGTGGAAGTGAGACATATCACACTACTTTATTCTGTTGGATACTACTACGATACCTCGCTATACATTGTTATATAAGTATTGCTGTGCGTACATACATAGATACATACATACATACATACATGCATGCATGCATACATACATACATACATAATACATACATATACACGTATATTATGCATATACACACATATATATATATATATGTACCTACCTACCTACATACCTACCTACATACATACATACATACATACATACATACATACATACATACATACACTCTATATCTTACTATGGCAGTGCCGAGTTTCACGGTCTTTGCCAGGCTGTCAAGTTGCAAACAGGCATAGCATAGCGGCCTTGATGATTTGGAAAGCCCTCACGAAAGGATCCTACAACTAGATCCTTAAACCGTAAACTCTAAACCAGTATCCTGTAGTAGTAAAGGTTTGAGGATTCAGGGGCCTTGCTAATTCGAACAGGGTCTTTGCATGGAGGAGCCTCCAGGAGAAATGCGGGTAATGTTCCAGGCCGTTCTATTATGGTTTAGGGTTTAGGGATAGGGATTTAGGGTTTAGGGTTTGGGCAGCACCTGTGAGGTGCAATTTAGTTGTAATCTGAAAATTTAACCTTCCATTTCCTTAACTTACTGGGGGGTAAGATCATATACTCCGAAGCTTCGGGCGAAATAAGTCTTAACTAACGTGAGAACTCTACATCATTGAGAATCTTCCTCGCCTTCTCTTTTCCGGCTTGGAAGCAAGTAACCGTAGGGGTCGAAACACATTGGGAAAAGCATCCCGATATAGTCCCTCTATCAGGACTTTACGACAGACCCCCGAAGCCCCATTCTCATCGTTCAGGCCCGTGAATCCTTAAACATATATGAGGGGCTGGATAGAATCTTGGAAACCAACCCCTCTAGTTGCTAGCTCCCCCGATCTTTTAAGTACTTGACGATGCCTTCCAATGAGCCAAAGCCTTCTTGGTATTTCTGCGTCCTAATAGTAGCGTGTTCAGGGTACATTTGCGGGCACATGGAGGGTCTAGGACTGCAAGTTGCTCGGACACCCTGAAGCAATCTTCGAAACACTTCCAGACTTTTGCTCCAAAGGCGGTGACGAAGCACGTGGACATCGAGCTGATTGCTGAGGCCTCCCGGGCACTTTTTGGCAACTCGTTTGATCGCGCCTGAGGTGTCTCTTTCCAAGATGCTTTGGGCACCGTCCGTTGCGCGCTTCTGATCACAGGCCAGCAGACAGACCCGGTCTCGCAAGGAGGCCCTGGCCTCGGTTCCGCTTTCGGGCAAAAGAAAAGGCCACTAGCGAAATGTGCGCGACGAACATTTGCTGTAAATGCCGTCTGAACGACCGGGCGTACAGCATCCGCTTCTCTTTCCAAGGATGGAAAAGCTTCGAAGCCCAAGCCCAGGCTTTCAGTGAGCTCAGCTCAGCCCTACCCGACGCGAGTTGGCTGGAAGGAGCACGCCGAACCAGAAGATGGGCTCTTCCAGCGCAGGGCTCAGGCGTAGAGCGGCGCACGGCAGTTGCTGAACAACGGTCCTTTCGAGGTTTCCAGCCTTTTCAGCCAACCTCCAGCTGCCGCTCGTCGAATACTCGACCATAGTCGCCGTGTAGGACGGAGTCCTTGCATGAGGCACTGGATGTGCACGCGTTTCTTCAGTCTCAGCAAATGCAAGCATTCATTCATTCGCAAGCGCTACGGCCGCTACCACCTTCTTGCCACCCGTGGGTATACATGAGTGTGATACAAGTCCAGCGCAGTAAGCTTCGTTCTCCAATACCCAACCTTTAAACTTTTTGGTTCTTATAATTTAGTAGTAATCTGAAAGTTTAACCTTCTATTTCCTTGGCTTATTGGGAAGTAAGTAAGCCCAGTCTGCAAGGGTGCCTGGCAAGAGCTCTGTTTTCTCTGCTTTTCAAAACGCTCTGATCGATTGTTCGCAGAAGGACAAATGCATTTGTTTCAGCTTGTCTCTTGAAGGACCAGGCTTGCACATAAACCCTGAACCCTATTGGCAGCACAACGATGCTTTCACCTGAAGCAGTCTTTTCCATCCTGCGCCATAAATGTGCCTGCGGGTCGGAAGACTGTCACTCCTGCTCAGCTGGATGCACAACACTCCTATAAAATCCTTTCTTAAAAGTTTTGTTGACCTATAGCATCAGTGGTAGCGGAGCAGCAAGATCATCAAGACATACACAGGAGCGATGTGCAGGAGCTGAGAAATTCACTTCCTCTTGGGAGTCGAGGGGCCATCACGGCGGGAGCTGGATGAGGAGCTCTTGGAATTGCCGAACTTGCGCACCACGGTGGTGCCTGGGATCACGGAGGGCTTCTTGATCAGGCCGGCCTCGGTGTAGGAAGCATCCCAGGTCATTGCACTGTCCGGTGGTTTGGTTAAGGTGTGCAACCACCCAAACCTTGTAGGAGTTCATATCCTTGGCATCGGACAAGGCGACGTCCTCGTAGGTCATGTTGGCATTCTTTAGCCTCCCAAACTCAATGAGAGTCTGTCCCCATTGATTGAGATCCTCCACATCCGCGGGAAGCTTCACCGGCTAGTGCTTCTTGTTGATGGTGGCCTTGTTGTTCCGGGTCTGGGCGCGAGGCTGGAGGGGCTCGTCAGTGGGCGAGGCCATCAGGTGTGAGAAGGTCTCGAAGTCCTCACTGTTTGCCTCGGCGGAGAGATGGGACCATCCATCTGAGACACCATCAAAGGGGTCCTCATCCATGCTTGTCTCAAGAAGATCACGGAGGGCCCGGAAGTCACTGATAGCCTCGGCAATGATCTTTTCACTCTCGCCGGCCATGGTGGCCTTGACAAGGAGCCGGCGGCATTCCACACGCTCCACCTCTGGAAGCCCTTGCGACAATCATCCCCAGCCCTGAACGGGTGCCGGCACAGCACTCACATCGGCCGAGGCAGGCGAGATCGCCTTCGGGTAGGCCACGCTGACACACGAGGGTCAGGCAATTGAGACGCGGTCTTCACAGGCGGGCCAGGTCAGCTAACAGACTGGAACGACAACCCGGACACACATACACTGTACACACATTCACTGCAGGCAACGGCTCAGTTAGTAGCCCCAGTTACTAAAGAACCTCCAAACATTCACACAACCCTACTACAGCATCAGCAG